TTTTAAAAACCCCTAACCAGGGGCGGACTGAGAACCCTCAGGGCCCCCGGGCAAAATAAATCAAGGGCCCCCTTACAGGCCCCACCCATACTCTGCAGCAAGCGCCACCCTTGTCCCGCCTCCATGCACCGCCTCCAGCCACACCCTACACAAGGAACAAAAGGGCAATAAGCCCTTCGAGGCCCCAGCAGAGACTACAATTGAGGGCTAATGGGCCATGGAGGGGGATCTTTCTAGCGGAGGCTATCTCAGTATCCTTTAGAGAGTGTGTTAGAAAGAATCCCCTCAAGGCCCCATTAGAGACTACAATGGAGTCTAATAGGCTTGGAAGGGGGTCTTTCTAACAGAGGCCATCTCAGCGTCCATTAGATATCCCCTGCTGGAAACAGTCGCCTCCAGGCCCCAGTAGAGATTACAATTGAGGGCTAATGGGCCATGGAGGGGATTTCTAGAAGAGGCTATCTCAGTGTCCTTTAGAGAGTGTGTTAGAAAGAATCTCCTCCAGGCCCCATTAGAGACTACAATGGAGTCTAATGGGGCCTGGAGGGTGGTCTCTCTAACACTCTGGTTCCTATTCACAATATAGCAACACAACATAGCTCACTGATACCTAGGCCAAGTTGGCTCCTCTTACCTTAATTACTGTTGCTGGCTGGCAGTCTGTGGGCTTGCTTGCTGCGGCTGGCAGGCTGTGGGCTTGCTGGCTACTGCCGGCAGGCTGTGGGCTTGCTGACTGCGGCTGGCAGGCTGTGGCTTGCTGGCTGCGGCTGGCAGGCTGTGGCTTGCTGGCTGCGACTGGCAGGCTGTGGGCTTGCTGGCTGTAAGCCTGTGGCTTGCTGTAGGCCTGTGGGCTGGCTACTGGCCTGTGGGCTGGCTAACTGGCTGGCTACTGGCCAGCCTGTGGGTTGGCTGGCTGGCTACTGGGGCACTTGCAGATTATTTAAATAAATAATCCATGCACAATAACCACTACTGCTCCAGAGTATGTAGTCAAACCATTTAAGAACACTTTGACAACTTACCTGGGATCTGCTGGGATGTGGGGCTGTAGTAAGGAATAGGAGCAGTGGTGCAATGTGTGTGAAAGGTTCAGTGTGTGTGGGGGGTGTAGTGTGTGAATGTGTAGGGTGTGTGGGCTGTGTACGTGTGTGGCAATGTTAGTATGGGGGGCTGTGTATGGGGGTCTATGTGTATATGGGTGGGCAGTGTATGTGTGTGTGTGAGGCAATGTGTATGGTGTGTATGGGGGCAGTGTGTGAATGTGTATGGTGTGTGTGTGGGGGCAGTGTGTTTATGGGGCTAGAGTTCACTCTCACCACTGCGACCACCAGGAATCCCTGGGGGGTCACAGTGTTGAGAGTGAACA